AAAAAAAAAAAAAAAAAAAATCTAATCCTAAAGTTTCTGTGAGGGATACAAATTTTTAAATGTATATAAAAGAGCTTACTTGGCACCAATACCTGTCACTTAAAAAATTATATCCATTTCTATGATAATACTGTTAATGATTCTTGGGAAGGGCATTGCCTGTCACCACCAATGGCCAGGGTGAGTAACTTCTGATGGAAACATACACACAAAATAAAATGTATGTCTGTAAATGATATATAATAATTATACATGATATATATCTCATATATATGTAAAGAGTCTTCCCACATTTTCAAGGCTTAAAAATGCCTTCTTTGTAAAATGTAGGACTTTTGCTCTATTGGGGGATGGGGGTGACCAATGGCTGCTGTCCTTGGGCCTGGTGCTCACTGGCTGACCTCTGGACCTAGACTGGGTGGGTGTGGAAGGTGACATGTGTAGACACTGTCACTCCTCACCATAAAAGGGGTAAGAGTGGGGTGAGGGGTGCAGATCGCAGAGGGTGGGAGGCATTTTCCGTTTCCTAAAGCAACAGCAGGAGCCAGAGTGAGACAGTGGGAGAGTGGAAGGAGGGAGGATGAGGTGACAGTGCGGGGGAGTTGTGGAGGCCCCAGGAGGAAGTTTCCCCCAGCCTTCCCTTCCCAGGATGCTGGGTCATGCTTGCCAGAAGCCAGTGCACTGGAATCTGCCAGTGGGAATCTCCTCTCCATCCAGCCTCCTCTCCACCCACCAGGCAGCTACCAAACCAACTGCACTGTTACTGTTACTGGTGCTTTTGCGGGTAATTCCTATTCCACCACAGAGGAATTGTGGCATCCCTAGAATTACCCCCCGAGCCTCAGTTTCTGTGGTTTCCTCTACTCTAAGACGATGATCACAACAACCCAGCACTGGGTGTTGTTACATTGCCCAGACTGGGAAACAGACCCCTGGAAGGCTATATGACTTCCCCAAGGTGCAGTAATCAAGGTTCTGTTGTTTGCCAGAAAGTAAAAACCATCTCAGACTTCTTCACAAGCAGGACAAGGTGCTAATTAGGAAGATGGGAAGGAATCCCAAGACAGAAACATGGCACCCAGTCTGGAACAACAATTGAACAGTCTCAGGACTTTAAGTTTCCAGACTCCTTCTCTTTCTACTTCAGATGGATAAAAGGGCCTACTCAGCCCTGATGTTACCTGGCTGATCCTGCTGCCTCAGTCCCATTCCCAAATTTCCTGGATAATTTATTTGGCAGATGCTGGTCTGCTCTGAGCTCTGTCAACAGCGGCAAGTGGGGTGGTCTATGGGCAAATATTACTTGTCTTCCTTAAGTACTGAAGAAAGGGGGAATTAAGAATCAGGAAGGTACAGCACAGTTCCTTGCCATATAAAATCATACTGTGTGTAGGGAGAATTTGAAGCCAGTCTTGCTCAAGTCCAGTGGTCTGTCCACTAGGTGTACTCTTCAAAATTTAAAAACAGAGACCCTCCCCTCCATTAGCCCTATTGCTGGTCAAAATGGTGACTCTGTAAAATCAACAAGAAAAGAGTAAGCAACCCCATTAAAAACTGGGCAGGAGACATGAAGAGAAACTTTTCTCACAAAGACAGAAGAATGGCCAACAAACACATGAAAGAAAAATGCTCATTGTCCCTAATTATCAGAGAAATGAAAATCAAAACTACTTTGAGGTATCACTTAACCCCAGTGAGAATGGCCCACATCACAAGGTCCCAAAGCAACAGATACTGGCATGGGTGTAGAGAGAAGGGAACACTTTCGCACTGTTGGTGGGATTGCAAACTAGTATAGCTTTCATGGAAAGAAGTGTGGAGAGTCCTCGAAGAACTAAAAGTAGATCTACCATTTTGATCCTGCAACCTCATTACCAGGTATCTACCCCAAAGAAAAAAAGACATTTTACCATAAGGATATTTGTACTCAAATGTTTATAGCAGCACAATTTACAATTGCAAAGATGTGGAAATAACCCAAGTGCTCTTCAACACATGAATGGATTAATAAACTAAGTTCCATACAGCATACAGTGGAATACTATTCAGCCATAAAAGGGAGATATTGATTTTTTGTAACAACCTGGAGGGATCTGGGGAACAGTCTCCTAAGCAAAGTATCACAAGAATGGAAAAACAAGCATTGCATGTACTTGGTACTAAATCGAAACTAGTAGATTCACAACTAGAGGCTCAGATGAGAGAAAAACTCAATCAAATTTGAGTGTAGGGGGAGAAGAGGTTCAGTAAGTTCCCACCCAAAGGGAACACTACGTGGGTATATGGCACACTTCCTGGGAGAAGAACACAACTACCACTGAGACCTCAACCTCACAAATGCAAAACATGTAACCTAAACGTATGTACACTCGTATTAAGCTGAAATTTTGAAAATGGAGATTCTGCAAATTAGAAGAAGACCATCTTCCTCAAACCATTTACTGCTGGAAATTTTTCATCATAACCAAACAAATATATTTTTAGTTTAATGGGAAGAATGCCCCCTGGAGCTGTGCAGAGCAAAATCTATACATCAATGTGAACCCCATGCCTAACACAGAATACAGAAAATCCTACTGCTGCTTTGGGGGAAGTGGGTAAAGGACCCAGACCCACCTGGCCTCTCCCTTGTCCTTCAGGCTGCCCTTGAGGCTACTCGGAAGAATCTCGGGGTGTTGGGAACACAGCATGGAAAAGCATGGCACCCCCCAACCTGGTCTCTACCAGACTGAGTCTGAGTAGTATTTGATGACCCTATGAGGAAGACTGGTTGGTCACATTCTGAAGGACCACTGGCTGGTCCTAGAGTGAGTTGGCCTGGTGATTTCACCTCCCAAAAGAGAGTGAGACTTTGGGGCTAGCCACAAGAGACTGTGGCCAGGTCAAATGGTGAAGGGGATGTCCTTGCTGAGGGACAACTGAGCCTGAGCTGAAGGTGGGAATAGAAAAGCGTACGTGTAGACGCGCCTTTGGAGGCTCTGACTCTGCTCTCTTACCTCCCTCTTGTGGCATTACTGGGCCTCAGCACCTCTGAATCTCTGACTCTGACCTCCTGTGTGACAAAGGCCCAGCCATACCTCGTGCAGTGCAAAGACTATTGTAAAGGAGTCACTGTCCGTCACGTATTGTTAGAGAGGAGTCTTAATCCATTTAGCAAACATCTCCAAAGATGTTTGGTAAGTAGATTGATCACAGCCAGGAGGAAGGTTTCCATTGGTCCCAGTCTGCCTTTTAAACAGTCATTAGAATGAAGGAACAGAAGGTGCATTTGTCACATTCATGAAGGATGCAAAACAGGAAGGAGACCAGCAGATATCGGACCTACGGAATGGCAGAGTCAAGACTTGTAAAGACTTCTAGAGGCTATACAAACAGAGGCCGGGTGCAATGGCTCACACCCGTAACCCTAACACTACAGGAAGCCCAGGTGAGAGACTCCCTTGAACTCAGGATTTCAAGCTCCAGGATTTCAATCTGACCAAGAACAAGACATCTCTACTAAAAATAGAAAAATGAGCTGGTGTTGTGGCAGGTGCCTGTAGTCCCCGCTACTCAGGAGGCTGAGGCAGGAAGATGGCTTGCACTCAGGAGTTTGAAGTTGGTGTGAGCTAGGCTAAAGCCATGGCCCTCTAGTCTGGGCAACAGAGCTAGGCTTTGTCGCAAACAAACAAATAAAATGCTAATGTTCTCACGAGTGCTTTTCTAAAAAAAGAAGATTACCTCTACTAAAAGTATTAGTAGGAATTTGTAAAGTTATGCTTATCTTTAAAAACTGCTACAAGATAAGAAAGGCATGACTTAATTACAATTTTTAAAAAGGTTTCAGTGGATATAAAAGATAATTTGAGTTCTTTGTGTGAATCGCACCCAAACTGCAAACTTAAAGGGCGTCATAAAGTCCCAGTGCCCAGAACAAGGGTGGTGAGAAGCCCACTCTACTCTGTGTGGGTCAGTTCAAAGCTGAAATATCTTGCTCCGTCCTGAACATAAGGGGGGAAAAAAAACTGATGAATTTAAGTTTTGACCTGGAGAAGAGCAGCTAGAATAGTAAGGGATCATGAAAAGATTCCCCAAAACATGTAGTGGTAGAAAGACTCAGAATAGCTAGAAAAAATGAAAAAAAAAATAGGAAGCAACATAATACTGATCTTCTTAAGGAATTTTGTATAAAATTCCTGCTCCATACAGATATATTCCTTATTGACTCAAGAATGTCAAAGTAAGAGCACTAGATGTTTGTTACAGAAATTTATACTTTCCCCTAAAGTATGAAAGGATTTTAAAAGTATTAAAATGGTCCAAATATGGAGTGAAGGGTGTGTGTCTCAATGAGCTATTGAGCCAGATGCCCCTGGATGCCAGGAGCAGAGCCTACATGGTAAGTAGGTAACCCAGCATCGGGGGTGCTGTGAAGGGAACTCCCCAGTTTAGACCGTGACTGTCCCAGCACAGAGGTTCTGCCGCTCTGACTCGTTCACCATAGCTTGTCCTTCCCTTTCTGCATTCCCCAGTAGCCCCATATTCTTTTTATTTCTCCTCTCTCTGAGGCTTAATTGGTGAAGAGGAAGGAGACAGGCCCTCCAGTATCTCAATGCAGGGGCAGTGGGGACAGCTCTTCTCTCCCTAGTATGGGGACAGCTCATCCCTCCTGTGACTGGAGCCTGGATGAACACCGGAAACAAAGTAAACACCCTTAAGTTCAGCACATCAAACAACACTTAAAAAAAAAAAAAACCCCACAAAAAAAGGCACTGCGATGTCATCATTATCTCTTGCGTTTTCTTCTCAGGGAAAGTCCTGGTCAGCAGCGAAATGGGCATCAGCCGCTCGGCGGTGCTGGTGGTGGCCTATCTGATGATCTTCCACAACATGGCCATCCTGGAGGCCCTGATGACCGTGCGCAAGAAGCGCGCCATCTACCCCAACGACGGCTTCCTGAAGCAGCTGCGGGCGCTCAATGAGAAGCTGATGGAGGAGAGAGAAGAGGACTACGGTGGGGAGGAGGGGGCGGACGAGGCTGAGCTGGACCAGGAGGCCGGGAGCACCATCGGGGCCCGAGTGCACACCCTGGAGGTGGAGGAGGAGGATGACACCACCAGCCACCTGAGCGGCTCCTCCCTGGGGAAGGCCAGCCAGGCTTCCAAGCCCCACACTCTCATTGACGAAGAGGAGGAGGAGAAACTCTACGAGGAGTGGAAGAAGGCCCAGGGCCTCCCCACGGGCAGGGTCCCCCCCGGGGGAGAGGACGGGCGCTCAACCTCCTCGGGCCACGGCGCAGGGGAGCTGGAGGACGAGGACGTGGAGAGCATCGTCCGGGAGTGGCAGAGCCGGAACGAGCGGTACCAAGCAGAGGGGCACCGGAGGTGGGCTAGGGAGGAGGACGAGGAAGAGGTGGAGGACAGCAACGCGGGATCCTTTGCTGGCAGCAGGCGGCGGCGCACGCTGAGCCAGAGCAGCGCGTCCGAGAGCGTCTGCAGCCGCGACATTTGGGTCCTAAAGCAGCAGCTGGCCGCCAGGGCCCAGAGCCGCGGCGGGCGGCGCCGCTCCGACTCGGTGTCCACAGAGAGCACCTGGGACATGTGGAACGAGAGGCTGCTGGAGATCGAGAGGGAGGCGGCCCGCACGTACCGTTCCCGGAGCAGGAGAGAGCAGGCAGACGCGGGCTCCGACGCCGCGGGCTCCGACGCAGGGAGCGGGGCGCCGGAGGAGGACGGCGACAGTGTGTTCTCCGAGGCCCCCTCCTTCTACAACTTCTGCAGCAGGAACAAGGACAAACTCACTGCCCTGGAACGGTGGAAGATCAAGAGAATCCAATTTGGGTTCCACAAGAAAGACTTGGAAGCGGGCGACGGCAGCAGTGCGCACGGAGCGGAGGAGGCAGCCGGGGACAAGGAGCAACCCTCCGACGTCAACCTGACCGCCTACCAGGCCTGGAAGCTCAAACACCAGAAGAAGGTGGGGAGTGAGAACAAGGAGGAGGTGGCAGAGCTCTGCAAGGGGGAGGACTCGGCCTTAGCCAAGAAGAGGCAGCGGAGGCTGGAGCTGCTGGAGAGGAGCAGGCAGACGCTGGAGGAGAGCCAGTCCATGGCAAGCTGGGAGGCGGCCAGCTCGGCCAGCGGGAGCATCCCCCTCTCTGCCTTCTGGTCTGCGGCCCCCTCGGTCAGCGCTGATGGGGACACAGCGTCCGTGTTCAGCACCCAGAGCCACCGCTCCCACTCGGCTCAGGCCACAAGCAACGCAGGGGGAGGCTCGACCTCCAACCCCACCACACCCCTGCCTAACCTGCCAGTGGGGCCTGGAGACACGGTTTCCATCGCCAGTATCCAGAACTGGATTGCCCAGGTAGTCAGTGAGACCCTCGCTCAGAAGCAAAACGAAATGCTGTTACTGTCCCGCTCACCATCCGTGGCAAGCATGAAGGCAGCACCAGCAGCCAGCTGCCTAGGGGACGACCAAGTCTCCATGCTCGGTGGACAGAGCAGCTCCTCCCTGGGCGGCTACCCGCTGCCGCAGAGCCAGGCCAGACTGGGCACCGACGCACAGTCTGTGTTGTCCTCCCACACCGCGCTGAGCTTGAGGGAGGAAGGCACCGGGAGCAGAGTGAGGGGGACCAGCAAGCCCATCTACAGCCTCTTCGCTGACGATGTGAACCTGAGGGAGCTGGGCCAGAAGGAAAAGGAGATGCAAATGGAGCTGAGGGAGAAGATGTCTGAGTACAGAATGGAGAAACTGGCCTCAGACAACAAACGCAGTACCCTTTTCAAGAAGAAGAAGGTCAAGGAGGATGAGAATGATGGCGTGGGTGATAGAGATGAGGACACTGACAGTGCCATAGGGAGCTTCCGATATTCTTCCCGCAGTAATTCCCAAAGACCTGAAGCAGACACCTCCTCTTCTTCCCTGGCAGTCTGTGACCACTATGGGAGTGGCAGCAGAGCTGGCAAAGAGCTGGATGGCAGTATTAATAAATGGCTCTGTGGGCTCAGGACAGAGGACAAATCTCCTCCCCCAAGCGATTGGTCTGGAAGCTCCAGGGGGAAATACACCAGATCATCCGTGCTCCGAGAAACTGAGTCTAAATCCTCCAGCTATAAGTTCTCCAAATCTCAGTCGGAGGAACAGGACACGGCCTCCTACCATGAGGCAAATGGCAACTCTGTAAGAAGCACTTCACGGTTCTCTTCTTCTTCCACCAGCGAAGGCAGAGAGATGCACAAGTTCTCCAGGTCCAAGTTCAGTGAGACCTCAAGCTCCCGAGGGGAGAGCCCAGAACCCTACTTCTTCCGCAGGACCCCTGAGCCCTCCGAAGGGGAAGAGTCCCCAGAGCCACAGCACCCACATTGGACTGGGCCCAGGGACTGGGAAGATGTGGAAGAGTCATCCAAGTCAGACTTTTCTGAATTTGGAGCCAAGAGGAAATTCACCCAGAGCTTTATGAGGTCTGAAGAGGAGGGAGAGAAAGAGAGGATGGAAAACAGAGAAGAAGGGAGGTTTGCATCTGGGCGGCGGTCCCAGTATCGGAGAAGCAATGACAGGGCAGAAGAGGAAGAGATGGATGATGAGGCCATCATTGCAGCTTGGAGACGCCGGCAAGAAGAAAGGAGGACTAAGCTGCAGAGAAGGAAGGAAGATTGAGCCAGGGAGCGGCCGAGAATGCTGGAGGATACCATTCAGCTTAGCACAGGGCTCAGGGCGCACATCGCCATCACCCGTCAAGGGATGGGGAGGCAGAGAGGATCTTCAAGAGGGACAGAGCATAAGGGCACTACAGGTGGAGCGGAAAGAGGAGAGCCATCACCATGAAGTCCCAATGCTGGACCAACCGACACCATTTTCTGTTGCCCATTGCCCTCTCTAAGCTTTGGTGCTTCACTTAATGTATTTGGTAGTGTTTGTCACACACCAGGGAGGTGAGCTTGAAAAGGTACTATAGTTTGTAGGAGACTGCAGCTTACATCTAGAAAGGCCATGAATGTTGGACATGGTTCTGTTGGTGGAGTAACAAGACCCAGGAAATCCATCCTGTGGCAAGTCTGACCTTTCTCTCCTAGCAATGCTCAGTTCTGCTTCTTTCTTTTTACTGTTTTGGATCTCCATTAAATTGATACGTTGTCAGATACTTCTCCTTCATTCTGGTCACTTTTAGCTCTTTCAATATTAGGGGTTATCCACTTTAAAAGATACAAATGAACTAGCCGGGCATCACGGTGGGTGCCTGAAGTCCCACCTGCTTGGGAGACTGAGGCAAGAGGGTTTCTCAAGCCCAAGAGTTTGAGGTTGCTATGAACTCTAGAGTGATACTACAGCACTCTACCCAGGGTGACAGAGTAAGACTCTGCCTCAAAAAAAAAAAAAAAGACACAAATGGATTATTATGGGCCAAACTCACCTGGTTCCCCAAGAGCTATACATCCAGACAATGCCATCATCATCTCATTATGAAAAATAACAAGCAAGCATTTAGCCTATGATGCAATGTAACATGAGACTACATTAGAAAAGCCCTTGAGAGTAACAGAGAGAGTGAGAGAAAGAGACAGTGAGTTTTGGCTCTGTACCCATAGCTCAGTGGTTAGAGTGCCAGCCACTGGCACTGGGCTGCCACAGGGGCTGTTGGATTCGAACCCAGCCGGGGCCTGCTAAAAACAACAATGACAACTACAACAAAAAAGTAGCCGGGCATTGTGGCAGCACCTGTAGTCCCAGCTTCTTAGGAGGCTGAGGCAAGAGAATTGCATTGCTGTGAGAATTGAGGTTGCTGTGAGCTGTGACACCACAGCACTCTACTGAGGGTGACATAGTGAGACTCCATCTCAAAAAAAAATAGAGAGAGTGAGTTTTATTGTGGTGAGAGTGGCAAAATATAAAGTAGAGAGAGAGTCCCTTTGGAATGAAGGAAATACACAAACAGACCGTGGGGAAGAGGATTAGAAAAGCTCAATTCAAGTAGATGGAGACATAACTTTATAAAACCTAATGGCCGTCCTTGCCTTTTATTCCTTGGTGGGTGATCGGAGAATGTAATGGATGGTACACTTAATTCTTCCCTGCATTCGGGAGAGGCCAGGCTGGTGAGAAATCTTTACTCTTTACCCTTTGTTCCCAAGGCATTTCTGACCCTAAAACACAGGTTGACTTGCTGACACAAGCAGAACCTCACAATAGTCATCAATGGACTGGTCTCTACAGTTCTTTTTAGGCTGCGGCACTTTGCAGGATTTGAAAACAGGCAGGTGCCGTGTAGGGGTCTGAGCTGTCTTGATCAATCAAAAAATTCAATTCAGAAGACACAGCTGGCGAGGAAATGATTAAGGGGAGGAAGAAGAGAGAGGAGGAATCTACCCTGGGACAAAGAGTAGGTGATAATCATCACTTTTTGTAAAAATGGAGATCTATGTGACAGAGAGGTCGTACAAGCTTCCCATGGAGATTAGCTCAGCATCACACATTTTAGAAAGTACAGAGGTAAATACACCAAGACAAATGGGAGCTGGCTTGAGCGCAAATCCAGAACTGCCCATAGTTGCTGTCAAAGCAACTGCATGTGTTTGCTCTCTTTCCCTCTACCACTTCAGCACAGTTCAGTTGCTGAGAGTACTACCCTCCCCTCCACCAACTGAGAGGGAACAAGAGGGAAAGAAGATACTGCTCAGCCTTCGTCTGGGTTTCCCCTGTCCTTCTTCCTTTGTGGCCTTTAGTTGGTCTCTATCCCTAGTTTCCAGTGCTTGATGGGTCATTCTCCCATATGAAATAGTGCATCAGTGCATGCTATAGTCCCAGCCACTCGGGAGGCTGAGACCGGAGGATCGCTTGGGCCTAGGAGTTGGAACCCAGCCTGCACAACATAGTGAGATTCTATCTCCTTAAAAAAAAAATTATTCTACCCCATCGTATGGTGAGAAGGCTGGTTGTGACCCATTTTAGCTTCTGAGAGAACTCAAGGCTTCCTCTCATTTCACTTTTATGGGGAAGTTTCTGATATAGGCACAATCAATAGAGTATCTACTCTAGAAGGTCGATTATTGGAGAGAAGAATGAAAATACATATACCTGGATGGGCTCCCAGTACCCATCCTTTCAACTAGAACTAACGCAATATAAAAATTGATCTCACTCATATCAAGATAGACAAGAAGAATTTTGAAAGCCATTTGCAGTCAATCCTAACTCATACCTCACAGAATGAATGCTGAACACACATTTTATTTATTTATTTATTTATTTTTAGAGACAGGGTCTCACTTTGTGACCTGCGGTAGAGTGCTGTGATGTCATAGCTCACAGCAACCTTCAGCCCTTGGCCTTAGGCGATTCTCTTGCTTCAGCCTCCCAAGTAGCTGGGGCTACAGGTGCCTGCCACAACGCCTGGCTATTTTTCCTTTCTTTCTTTCTTTCTTTCTTTTTTTTTTTTGTTGCAGTTTGGCTGGGGCCGGGTTTGAACCTGTGATCCTCGGTATATGGGGCCAGCGCCCTACTCACTGAGCCACAGGCACTGCCCCTGAACACACATTTAAAGCATATGGGTTGGAAGAGTCGCTCCAGTCTTTCTCCCGCCCTGGATGTGAGCCTTGGGGACACAGACCCAAGACACAACCAGGGCTGCTCTTAGTTTAGCTCATAGGCTTAAAGGGACAATGATGGCCCCCATGTAGCCCAGCTGGGCTCACTAGAGGAGGAAACCCAACAGGGGTCAAAGCCAAGCCTTGGAGACATGCCTTTGCTTTCTGTGTCTCCAGGCACGAATCCTGTGCTCGGGGAGGCATCTACCTGAGACCTGAATTCAGCTTATTCCTGGAGTCCAGAGTACATTTTGGGAAAACACATCCAAAGAAAGTGTGTAATTTATGACAAGCTTGAAGAAATGTTTGGGATTTGAAGTGTTAGAATCTCAAGTATAACTTCTGAATGATACCTAACTTAGGATGAGATGCTACAATCCAGCTTGCCAGGCTCTGAATGACATTCAGAGGTTTATGTTAGTATAAGTCCCCACAGGAAACAGATGGCACTCCCAAAGTGATGGCTGTTGAAAATTTAATGTGGGGACAACATATAGAGGCATAGGCAGGGTTAAAGAAGATAAGAAGGAATAATAAAACCCTCAGGGACTAGCAACAGTGAGAAACTGATGCACCCTGGGACTGAAGGGACAAAGTGAGGAAGCGTTTCCTGAGCCCAGCAGAGCCATGACTGTGCAGAGGGGCTGCCTGACAACCTGGCAGAGGAGTGGGGGCAGTAAGTGCCCTGACCCCTCCTCTTCTTGGGATCTGATTTCGTGCTAGCAATTTCCATCAGCCAAACCTAACTAGACACCAATGGGTAGGACAGCCTTGTCGTCTGGAGAAGAAACAGAAGTGGATCAGGAAAGGCAGATGGAGAACTAGCAGCACACCTTAGTATGTTGAAATGGAAAGGTGGTCTCCGCAGAGTCTTAAATGACCAAAAACATTATATGTTGACCACAGAATTGATCCACTCTCAAGAATTAATTAATAGTTGGAATAAGTTCGTAATACATAAAGCAGACTGTCAGAGTCAGTGACATTGTACATAAAAGAAAAAGACGGGACAGATCTGCACCTATAGCCTTCATCCTCTCTTGAGTCATAAAGAGTTCACAAGGAGAAAACTCCCACAATAAGGTGAGGTAGTGCACAGAAAGGGGCCTGATAAATGTAAAAATCCTGCCCAGAATTCTGAGGTGGGAGGTGCTAAGAGATGGATGGGGGTGGAGGTGGGGGGGGGGACGGACAGAATTTTATTTTTTCTTCATCCTAAGTAAAGCCCTAGAGAAAGAATGGAAATGTGGGGGCTGTGAAGAAACCAGGTGTTTCAGGCAGCATCCCACAGAAATAATAAGCCACACCCGAATTAGGGTAATTCAAGTGGGGAGTTTCATAAAGAAGCTATTTACAAAGGTATGAGAAGGGTGTAGGGCAACCTACAAGGTGTGGTGTGCATCCCTGGGCTAGGAATTACTCGCAGGCCTGAGGAGAGAGGAGACCAGAGCTGTTACTGGACCCTAGAGAAAGGGGGCTGTGTGGAGGGCCAGTTTCTTAAGAGCTGAGGTCTTTGATCTAGAGAGCCGGCCTGAAATGACCCCACAAGGACGGAGCTGGAGGACTGCAGTCCCTCTTACTCCCGTCTCCTGCCTGCCTCCCCACAGGTCAAACCCAACCCATGGGGAGGACAGTTGCTGCACGTAGTCCATTTGGTCAGCCCCATGAAGCATGGGTAGGGTGGGGAGAAGAAGGGTGAGTAGAGGTCTGGAAGGGCAAACGTAAGACATCCAACACCAAGGGCAAAATTTCAGACCAGTGCATAAGGTACCTTGTGACATATGGTTGACGCTGGCTTATCTAGATCCTGCTGTTCGTGTTTAGAAAATTGGCAGACAAGTGAATATGCATTTCTCTGGACTCTTGAAACTTACCCCTGGTGTCGCTTGAGAGAATTATTAACCAATGACAATTAAATAATCAACTCTTGTCACACCTGCCTTAACGCGTGCCACATAGAGTTGCCCTTGTGGGAAGAATCTACACTACAAATCTATACCTGTTCTTAGGAACATCTTAGGAGTTTTTATCCAAGGTCCATGTTTTAAAGCATCACCTATTCTGCATCCACTGGGG